GAGGGGGGGGGGGAGGGGAGGGGAGGGAGGGGAAAATCTTCAAAGAACAGAGCACATCCACTGAGGGAGGGAGAGGAAAGGGAGGAAGAGAAAGGGAGCAGAGTTGAGGTGAACATCTTCGAAGAGCAGTGGAAACAGCCACTGATGTTTCACCTCCTCTCCATTGCCTTTCCCGATCGCAGAAATCTACGGCATGCACGATCGCAGAAGTTTATGGCATGCACACAGTCCTTCTTAGAATCTTCCAAGAACAGTGGCAACGACCCCAATCGTAGAATTCTGCTGCAAATTGTCACTGAATGGCATGGTTGGAAGTCTTTTCCTTGGATTTGTCATGGCTTGAACGTGCTCTCCGATGTTTTGGCCGGGTATATACTCGCAACCTAGACGAAAATCCTATGTTTGTAATGCATTCCTTCATCGTCCGATGCTGGTGCTACATGTGCGCGGTGCTGCTGAACTGAGATGGAGTGGATGGACCAGACGGTTCCGGCCAGAAGCTTGGCCTTTCCTGAACTGCCCCAATCTGCCATGGTTTCTCCCGTCTATCACTTCGCTCAATTCTCTTCTCGTGTGAGAAGCAACCGCAATGCCAGAAGAGCTGCCGAGGTATCTGCTCCTTATGCTCTGCATGTCTGGCTAGCCTGTTTTAATACGCTCTGTGCTGTTTCTCAGCTGGTCCAATGTCCAACGGGAACATGGAGCAACAGTAAGACTAAAGGCGAGATTCAAGCAAAAGAAGACACCTTCAATGCAGGCGGAGACCCATGGTGCGCTGCTGAAGGCGGCTTCCTCAGCCTGGGTCAAGTGTCGCGTACTAGTATTTGGGACTGCAGAAGTTGGTCTGGGACTAGGGCCGGACTCCTTCATGCATGCTGCCCCAGGTTCCACTTTTTGTGGCGCAGCCCGCGTGAGCCCTTGAGAAAGATCTCTGTTGGTCACCGAATGTGAATCGTCCTGAAGGATGGCGTGTTTCACCTTTCACGTTCCGCCGAGCGTGTTTGCAATTGCAAACAAGCATCCTGGCACGCGCGAGTGCCTGAGGGACATGTGAAAACATCTGGATATTTGTATGATGGCTGAATGGACGAGCATAAGAAGGAATTCTTCCTTTGTAGGCTTCGAGCTCGAGATATGTAGTATTATGTTGCATGAGACGATTGCCCTTCTTGGGAGTAATTTACATTCCTTTGTGTGCCTGTGCAGCTACTTGCGTGAATAGGTTGCAGCGATGCAGGGATTGTGCCTGCTCCCAGTGGCGGCTGCTCCGCATGACTTGCCCATTCTTCATTTGAAAGCGCTGACTTTTTGGCTTATCGCTGGTGCCTACATTCGTGTTGCGTCGCTATTTCAAATTCATTTCAAATTTTCGGCTGGAATCGGATCAGGTCTGCATGCTGTGGTGTTTTTCCATCATCGACGCGGCAACAACAATTTCGTCGGTTGAGAAAACCATCGCAGTTGCTGGCCAACACCGTCGCGCTTGTTCTTGCCGCATTCAGCTGCAACGCTTGCAGGGTTTGTTGTTGTGGCAAGCGAGCTGAAACAGCTTGACAAGCTTGTGTCATCCGGGTGCATGTATTGGGGAAGTGCCGTTCCATCCCTTCTTGGTACAAATTTGTAAACCTGCAAGATCGCTTTCACGAAGCGTTGCAGGTTGCACAGTTGGTTCCTTCTTCTGCCAGAACATTGCCCGTGGCAGATGTATGTTATCAAGTTTTGCAAGCACCAAGAAATGATGTGATGCCAAACCCGCCTCCATGCAAGTAAATCGTTGCGTGACACAGGAAAACAGTTCATAAGAAAACACAATTTCATGAATCACAGAGCCCGTCGTGCGCGCCCGAGTTGTTGGGATTTCGCCTCTTGTACGGTTGCGCGTCGACGTACTGTTGGTGAGTGCCGTGACACCATGGGCGGAGCTGTTGAGGAGGACTGCGGCATTGCATCCAACATTGCAAAACAAAGGCTCACATCACAGCCCCATCCACGGCCCGCCGGTCCCGAATTGGGCCCCGCCATCTGGCTAGGCGAGAACCCCGTAGCCGATCCGTTTGTTGGTCTTGGGCGTCCCCTCGGCCATTCGGGAATCTCTGCCCCTCCTGGACTTCCAAGGTGCTTCGTTGCTTTGGCCATGTGCACTTCCCCGCCTGTAAGCCTTGGCTTGTGCACGAAACCCCCCCGAGCAAAAGTTGCTCAATTCGGCAAGCTGCATGTCGATGCTTTCTGGGATGCTGTCACATGGTCCTGGGCGGGCTGCGGCTGCAAGAGACAGCGAGCGCGAGCTCTGTCAGGTTCTATTTAAATTTCAGCTGGGTGGACCGCATCACCAGTGTACTCGGGCGGGCCGACGCTCTCCCAGTAGCGATTTCCGACCATTGCACAATCTTCCGTAGCTCCGTGCAGGTCAGGCATCCTGTTTTTCAGAGTTGGGAAGTCTGCGCCATCCTGCGCTCTCTTTGGCAAGCATGCCCGAATGGCACGCTCTTGCTGAACGAGCGCGCCCTTCCCGCTCGTGGGCCTGGGTGATTAAAGGCTGACGTGTCGCGAACTCGCAAGCTTATAAAACGTTCTTCAGCATGTGTGTTCTGCCGTTCGTGTCTCCACGTGGCTTTGCTGCGCAACAGTGATTAATGGCGCCGCCGTGCAAGTTGCCGAAAATGCAGACGAGTCGCGTGCGTTGAGTTCAGCGTGCAGCGACGCCTGGTCCTGTCTTGAGCCCTCCAACCTCTTAAAACGCCCTTTTCTGCGCTCCTCTGCCTCGCCTTTGGACCCGATCTCCTTCACCCAGACACAGAAGAGCTTCGCTAAAACATGACCATTTTGGCCTAAGCCATTCTGGCTCAAGACCTCGGCTGGGCTTTCTTAGTGTGTCGTTGGTGAGGCCTCCTGGCAACAATCGTTTGGGCTGTTTAGAAGAGCTCCCGTGGGCCCTTCACAAATTACTGTAACAGAGCACATAGGGAATGTTGCAAAATTTGGAGTAACATCATAAGTAACATCCCATATTTCGTGGGGTTGGCCACGGTGCCTTCGGGGCTCACTTGTGAAATCACGCTTGCGCGATGCACACGCTCTCACTTGAAAAGTTGGATGCGTTGCAAAGACGCATGCTTAGACTAATCGTTGGATGGATCCATGTGGGCTCGTCTCCGGCGCACAGCTATGCGCCGCATTAAGTTGCGAGTGGACTCGCGCTCCACCCTCTGGATCCTTGGACAAAACGATTAGCTCTTCGGCAGCATGGCTTTGTTTCCCAAGTCGCTGAAACATGTGGTTGGGCTATGCGAGTTTGTGAATGGCACCCTGAAGCAGACGGGTATTATGATTTCGCTGTGCTGATGCGATGGATGATAAACTCCGCCCGTACTGTAAAAGATGATTTTCCAGCGCACCTTGCTGGACCCAAGTGGCAACTTGTACAGATTGGAAACAGTGAAATTGTCATTGAACTTCTGACGCTGTAGCACAAGGTTGCGTGTTGTCTTAGCTGTCATCCTCCCCATATCCTCATAGGACCGTAGTCTCAGGAAACCGAAAGCGAAAAAGATCGGACCCATTTAGCCGCACGTAGTGGCCAAACCGTCTGACATGCAATATGGTTACCAAACTCGCTTATGCGGACCTTTGCGCACGCTGTTTGCTGACGACGTTCGGTCGAATTGCCGCGTTGGAAGGCTGCGACCCGTCCCACTAGTTCCTCGTGTTTGCGGGGGCCAGTATGATGGGCAGGACGCGCCAGCAGCATGCGCGGGACCAAAAAAAACAATTTCCACCCGCGAACGGTGGCCGAGTAGTCCAGGCCAGCACCAACCTCATACGCCGAACGCAGCTGCTTGAGGGCTAACAGGAGACCATTGCACACGAGTGTCCGCATGAAGTGAGGGACATCCTGCAGCCTGCAATGTGTGGGCTGGATTTCGGAGTTTGGCTGCTAGGTCGACCGCATCCAGCTGCTCCCACATGCCATGGCGGGGTTTGGCATTGCTTGTTCTCGTGCGGAATCACAATGCCTTGCTCGCAGTTGGCCCGGCATGCTGGTGGCGAGGGCGGCCCTCGGCGGCCTCCACCCCTGCACCCGCGGTTCGCGCTTGAGCGTGATGGGCGGACCGGTCCAGCAGGCTCCGCAAGTCAGCCGCCAGGCCATGGGCGGCCACAGCCGCGGGCACGCTGCCGTAGGCTTCGAGGAGTGCAGATTGCGC